CCTAGACTATGCGAGAGAGGAAGTGGTAACTGGTGTGGACTTCCTCTCAACATCAATTTTTCTACTCCAGGTTTACAGGCAACTGTCAGCCTGGATAATGCACATTCTCTCCACATTTGCACAACCTTCTCTGCTTTCCAGAGCATTAAAACGTTGTAAAGGCTAATGCAATTCCTCTCTTTAAAATATTTAATGTGTGTGTGTGTGTGTGTGTGTGTGTGTGTGTGTGTGTGCGTGCGCGCGCGCGCGCGCGCGCGCTTGAGTGCATTGCTCAGGAGCACACAGAAGTCAGAAGAGGGGATTCGATCCCCTAGAACTGGAGTTACAGGTGGTTGTGAACCACCAGGTGGGTGTTAGGAATCATACCCGAGTGCTCTGCAAGAACAGAAAAGTGCTCTTAACTACTAAGCCATCACTCCAGCCCTATTTCTTTTAAATATAAGGACAGCAGTGGCAGTCACCTCTGTAAGCCAGTTCCAGCTGTGGTATGTGATATCTGAGGGCTGACTGCACAGAGTTTGGGTTTTCAGACATGAGTTCAAACCCACACTGTAGCTGCCTTAGCTGCGTGAAATACAGCCATTAGAGAATGTAACTGTCTCTTCCCTTGTAAAATAGGAAAAGTTTTATAGATGAAATAATACCCATCAAATTCCTAATGTAGTGCTCAATGAGGGACACAAGTGTTCAGTCGATGAAACTCAAAATCACTGTTCATTAATTGCTAAGGATAATATTATTTTTGAATTCTCTGATTTCTTTTCAAGCTCTTGTACATGTATATATTTGTATGTTGAGCCTATTCCTTCTACCCTCCCCTTACTTACCTCTTTGGCCTCCTATCGGTCACCTTTGTCACCCCAAGGAAATGACTTTCGTCTGTGTAGAAAGATCATCCGTGACATTGGAATTCAAACGTTCATTATTTGGGCTGGCGAGGTGGCTCAGTGGTTGGAGGCGCTTGTGTGCAGACCTGGGGGGCGGGGCCTGAGTTTCACTCCCAGATCCCAGGAGGGTGGCAGGAGTGACTGACTCCTGAGAGTTGTCCTCTAACCTCCACGTGTGTTGTGGAGGTGTGTGCACATGCGCGCACACACAGATAGTCAAATACATTTTTACCTTTATTACTTTTTATTTCGATTGGCTCCCTTCCCCTCTCCCAGCTCCTCCCAGCTCCTCCCCACCTTGTACCCACCCAACCTCATGTTCTTTCTCTCTTCCTTGAATTCTTTAAAAGTTAATTCCAACGACGATACACTATTTTGCGTGAAAAAAAAAATGTAATGTCTGTATCTGCTTGATTTAGGATCCCTGTGGTTACTTTGATATTACAATAGATAGAGGTGCTATAGTTAAGATCTGAGGCCCTCCCTCCTCCCCCCCGCAAAAAGTCTATGTGTTGAAGATTGATCCCCAGTTCACGATGCTGTTGGTGGCTGAACCTTTAGGAAGAGGGACCTACTGGAAGGAAGCAGAACATCGGGAGTGTGTATTTGAAAGAGGTGTTGGAAGGTAGACTCTGGCTCTGTCTTTGCTTCTCACTGAAAGGAAAATGGCCAAATTAGTGGCTCGACCACCATACTCTGATAGGTTTGGCCACAAGCCCCAAACCAAGAGACCATAGACCCAAACCTTTGAGACAATCCCTCCCTGCTTACAAACTGTCTCTAGTACGCTGCCGTGGCTGGATTATGCAATGTGCTCCTCAAATGATCCAGGTCTCCTTCCACACCCTACAAGTTGAGAGGACAGGCAGGATTTGCTGTTTGGTTTGCCTTTATGACTACCTTTACTGTCTGTGGGCTGATGGTATGAATTTATGCCTGCACATTTTAAAACACATTAAAGTATTCAATAAACGTTCAGATGCCCTCAAGTGTTCCAAATCCCACTAGACAGAGAGTATTCAAACAGTTGCAGTTTTATTTTAAGTTCCTTGTTTAAACTTTTGCTTCTACAGATAATGATGCCTAGTACACCCGGCAAAACCGAAAACGGCAGGCTGTGCGGAGAGTTTTCATTTCCCTGACTCCAACCCCTGGTCTCACAGCTGCCCCAGCAACCACTTCCTGAAATGCAAACACCAACTCGTGCACACACTACCCCATACCATACAGGCTGATGATGGAGTACTCGGGAAGGCTCCACACCTTCGGTTCGCCCCCAGGGACCGGCTCTCATGGTGGAGAGACTAGCTCCAGCAACTTCTGGTCTCTCTACGGTGGTCCCTTTCTGCTTTTCTTCCAGTGACATGATTCTGTGTGGCTTTCCCGAGCCCGCTGGCCGGAGTCGCTGCTTGCAGAGCGGACGGGAAGCAGGTGTCTGGCGCCATCGGAGGGCAGGCCCGCGTGGGAGCCGCCTGTCCTCGCCGCGCATCCCAGGTGACTCCGGCCCGACCCGCCTCCCCTGGACCGAGGCGTTTAGAAGCACCTTAGAAACTGCACCACCCGTCAGCTGGCTTCAAAACAAAGAGTCCTTTCAGCCGCTTCAGATGCTGGCTCGTCGCCATGGCAACCGTCCTCCGCCTGCCTCCCTCCCCTCCCCTCCGCCGGGCGCCCCGCAGCTGCGTGGGTGGAGGCGCCGCTTTGTCCCCGGGGGCCGGCTTTATTTCCCGCCTTTGTGGTGGACCAGAGAGGAGTCACCCCCGGGAATTCACTGTAGAAATGCCAAGTTTCTTTTCAACCATCCTGGTTGGGTCCAGGAGAGTCCGTCCCCCTCAGGCCCAGCAGCGCCACCTTCCGTGGAGAAGAGCGCACTGCCCGGTCCGCCGCTGCGCAAAAAGCAGTATGGGTTCTGGCCATTGTCACTTTTCTAGTGGCGCTCAACATTTGAGCAGCGAGAGCTTTCTTGGCTGAAAAGACAGAATGGTTATGTAAACAATTAGGGCGTGTTTTCTGTTTGTTTTTTCCCCTCCCAGATGCTTATTTTAAATGATTATGTACTTTCAAAATTTTTGTATTAACTTTGATGACGTCCTCAATATTTACTTTCTCTTTTCTATGGAGGAACTCTTTTAAACATTAAAAATTAAAGGAGCCAGAAATCAATCTTTGGCTGCCATGTGAATTTGGGAGTTTGGGGGTCCTTCTAGGTAGACGCGTCTATAAGCTGTCTGAGGAATTGTAGAATGGGGACAGATGGGGCTTACAAGATCTGCCTGGAAATTTAAATAAAAAAAAAAAAAAGGAGTACAGCCTGAGAGCAAAAGATCAAGAGAGAGAAGGCAGAACAGTGTGCAGAGAAAAACAGACCGGTGTCCGTGTGCAGAGGAATATAGAGCGACATACTATGAGCTATGTGAAGTCACTTTTCAGCATCTGTGGGAGTGGTCACAGTTTTCCCAACGTTGTATTTCATAAAGGTAGATGCTGGAAGAAGAGTCTGAGGCAGCTGCATCATATTTCATTGAATCAATTTTTAATGTAACTTGAAAGCCATTGCCAAATGATAAAAAGGCTATCTGAAACACTCGGGGAATGCCGAGCGAGCGAGCCACGCACAGAAGAGAAGTCCAGCGGGTGAGAGAGGGAAGTTTTTCTCCTCTCGGTTCACAACTACAAAAAACCACATTTGATGAACAGGAAGCAGCCGGGTCTGGCACACAGTAGACAAGTGTTTGCAAAGCAGAGGTTTGGGTTTTCCTTCTGAGAGCAATCTTTATCTAAATAACTACTTAGAAAATAGTATGTTACTTGCAAACCTTTTTTTTTGTTTGTTTGTTTGTTTTTAGTCCAGGCTTTTTCCTTCCCTCAGGAAATCTTTTCATTTGATGAATATTTCTTCTCTAATTTCAAACGAGAGTTATGAAGCAATGTCACAAATTGCTCTTTTTATTATTTAGCTTTGAAATTATTTTTTTAATTTTCTTTTACAATCCCCCTCCGCACCCCGACTCTGCTCGGAGGCAGGGTGGGTAGCTCAAGCCTTTAATCCCAGCACTCGGGAGGCAGAGAAAAGCAGTTCAAGTTTAAGGTTAGCCTGGTCTACATAGTGACTTTCAGGCTAGCCAGCTGCCCAGAGAAACTCTGTCCCCAAAAATAAAACAAAAGGGAAAATCTTTTTTTTTTTTTTTTTTGCACGTACGAAATATGTGTTTGCATTCGTGCATGGAAGCCCCTTGTAGGAGTCGGAAGACAATTTTGAAGGTCACTCCTCACCTTTCACCTTGTTTGAGAAGGGGCCTCTGTTGTTTTCTTTTTGTTGTTTTTGTTTTGTTACTGCCAGAGACCTTCTGGAGACGAGTCTAGGTTGGCATTGCCATCATCACTACAGCTTGCCATTTTATCTTACAATGTGCCCAGCATTGCCGCAAAACCCTGTCACACCTCATCTTACCGAATGCCTCATTTTAGTGTAATTGAAGGTAAATTTTTCCTCTGACCTCTGCTTCACACCTTTCCGAGTCACAGGGACCCGGACCGCTTTAAATGTAAAGTGCTTTCAAAGATCTTTAAAACATCTTTATTTTACGATCGGGGAACTGGGATTCTGGAAGGAGAAGTGTTGGTCTCTGTCTCTCCTCTTCCCCTCCCTCCCCTGTTCTCCTTTCTCTCTCTCTCCGTGGACCCCCCCCCCTCCCCTTTTCTGGCTGGCTTGGAACTCCCTGTGTAGCCTAGGCTGGCCTCGAACTCACAGATAACATTGCTTGTCTCCTGAGTGCTGGGATTAAAGATCTGCCCTACAACGCCGGGCAGCAGTGGCTTCTTAAGTGCACCTGTGTAATGGAGGCTAGTCACGGTCGATGATCATCCATGACGCAGTAAATTAAGTAAGTCGTACCCCGGGAAATCAGTCTACCCTTCCAGTCACTTCCTAGTTTCCTGGAGGCCCTTTGTGACTGGATGACCGACCGTCTCCATCCTCCAACCAGGGCTGGGAGCCACAGGGCTACACCAATCGAAGGTTACCGGACCTTCAACAAAGGCCAATCGGATGCTAGAGCCTAGCGAGCGACGGGCGACCAATCAGAGCGCAGGAGCGGAGGCCAGGGAGCGGCTGGCCAATCAGCGTGCGAGCGGTGAAGAAGGAGGGGAGGAGCCTCCGCGCAAGATGCAGTGCGCCGCGCGACTGCGCTGCGGGAGCCGGAACGGAGCCTGGGACCTGGTGGAAGCTGGTAGGGCCGGGCGCGCGGGTGGGAAGGGCCGGGCTGGGCGTCGCCCAGGAGAGGTACGGGAGGAGTCGCGGGCTAGGGACGCCGTTGCCATGGCAACACAGGTGCACAGTCCTGGGACCAGGGTCCCTGCTCCTGGACCGTTCTCGGGCTGGAGCTCCTAGGCCCACAGGGCCGGCCTCCCGTACCCGAGGCTCGCAGGCTGCTGGGCTGCCATCTCTCCGCTGCCTGCCTGCCTCCCTTTTCAGCCTGCACACCAGCAATCCGGACTCTCCCCTCTGGGGCACTGGGAAAACAAGGCTTAGCCATGGGACCACTTGTATTAGCTCTCAGTCCGTTCGCCTCAGGCCACCCCTGGGGTGCAGCGCAGCTGCCTCATCCTGGAGACTGTCACTGTAGACAAACTAGGGTGTCTCCAGAGATTTTTTTTTTAAAGCCACCCAACGAAGTACTTTGTGCACAAATATTTCAGAGAATAGGGTCTGAGTGAATGAGTAAGGATCACGATGGCAAAAATTCCAGGGGCCAACTCTGCTCAGTAGAAATTGAAAGCGCATCATGCATGTTATTTCACATAGGAACCACCATAGGGTAACTAAGTTAAAATTTGATATATTTTACTTGACTCAAACATATTACCAGTGTTACATTAATGCTAAGATATTTAAAATTGTGTCTTTTTTTTCCACCCAAAGCCTCCCAATCCCTTTGTGTATCTTACCAGCCACATTTCAAGTTTCAGTGCCCATTTAGGTAGTGGCTGCCATCTTTGTTTAGTTAGGTTTCTTTTGAGCCAGGATCTTGCCATGTAACCCAGGCTGGCCTCAAACTTATGATCGTCCTCTCTCAGCCCGCAAGCACTGAGATTACAGGCATGTACTGTACTATGCAAAGTAGTATTTGAAAAGAAATCAAGTGTATTTGTGTGTGTGTGCATGTGGACAGCATCTAGCCAGTTCTCTTTGTTTACCTTACAGGTTCCAGGGAATTGAGTCTGTGTTGTTAGTTTCTGTAGCAAACCTTACCTGCTGAGCCGTCTCACAAACCCGAAAGTAGTGTTTTAAGTGGACATAATTCAGGCAATGGTGAAGATAAGTGAAAATATACAACTGGAAAACAAGATGACTGATAGTTATTTTTAGGAATTCAAGGGAAGGATCCTTTGGGCTCATGGAGCAGCAGGTGTGTCCAATCCGTGGCCTGGAGGCCACATGTGGCCCGGGACAGCTATGAATGTTGAGTAAACACTATTCCAACACCAAAGTGTAAGCTTAAGTAAAACGTTAGGAGATTTATTTTTCCGTTTTGTTTTGTAACTCAATTGTATGGTTCGTGAGAATGTGCTTTGTGGATGACAGCATCATGTCGCAATGTCAAAAGGTTGGACGTGCTGTGAAAGGACTTGAGCCTGGTCTTGAAAGAGGGTAAGCCTTGGACAGATGGAAAATAATGTTTTTAATTCATTGAAACTGAATCGAGCCTCTTTTTTTTTTTTTTAGGGTTGAAAAATTAGACACATCCAGAGGCTTGTGGACTGAAGAAGTGTTCCTCTCCCACCGGCAAGCTTCGCCATGATTCACAGCCTTTTCTTGATCAACTCCTCTGGAGATATTTTCCTAGAGAAACACTGGAAAAGCGTGGTCAGCCGTTCTGTGTGCGATTACTTTTTTGAGGCCCAAGAGAGGGCCACGGAGGCAGAAAATGTGCCTCCGGTTATCCCCACCCCACACCACTACCTCTTGAGTGTTTACCGACACAAGATCTTTTTCGTGGCTGTGATTCAGACAGAGGTCCCGCCTCTGTTTGTCATTGAATTCCTTCACCGAGTAGTGGACACATTTCAGGTTTGTAAATGTGGGAAGGTCTACATATATAAACTATAAACATTAAAAGACACACACACACACACACACACACACACACACACACACACACACACACACACACAGAGAGAGAGAGAGAGCCCCTTTGACAGGCTCTCATTCTGTAGCCCAGGCTGGCCGGAATTATGTAGCCCAGGCTAAACTCCTATTTGCAGCAGTCCTCCTGCCTCAGCCTTCTAGGTGCTGGGATTATAGGCATAAGCCTCCATACCATCTTGCAAAGTATTTTCACAGTCCTGTCTCCATTGTTTGTAGCTTGGGCTAAGAGCATTTTTGAAAATCAAAACCAAACATTCATCATTTCCTGTCTGATCTTAGATTCTTGTTTCTGTTTTCTTAGTTGGCTGCAAAAGGACCTATTGGATGCTTGTAAGCCTCTTCATGAGAGAGCCACCTGCTCCACATGAGTGTGTGGTCTTCTTAGGTTTGCTCCTACGTTTTGCTCACAAATTAGAGTTCAGATTTTTTTTTAATACTGTGAAGTTTTTGCTAACCCTTGTTAGCTACATTGCTTTGAGTTGTATCCAAAAGCAATGCATGTAAAGTTTTCTAAAAGCACAAACAGGAAAAGCTAAGTTTATTTTAACTGCCCCTGGCAGGGGTCATTGGTGAGTCAGCTGAGTACAGGTAGCATGTGTGCTGATATGACTTCTTGTTACAGTTTTCCATGCTTGTGAGAATGTGAGGTACACTGTGGTTTTCATTTTGATATGTAGCTAAGGCAGCGGTTCTCAATCTGTTGCCTATCAGATATCCTGCATATCAGATATTTACATTACAGTTCATAACAGAAACAAAATTACAGTTATGACATAGCAACGAAAATCATTTTGTGGTTGGGGGTCAGCACAACATGAGGAACTGTGTTAAGGGGTCAAGGTTGAGAACCACTGCTCTAAGGGAACATGATACAGGGAGGTGAGTTATACCAACATGTAAGAACCGCATAAGCACAGATTCCGGATCCACACAATGGAATCTTTGTCCTGATGATCACTCGACTTTAACTATGTGGCCGGCCATTCGCATTGCTTTTATGAGAGATTAGGATCAGAGCACTGTGGTTTAACTTCTCTGTCATGTGAGGTCCGGAGTTAGCCACATGTATACAAGAACTGTGGAGTTAGGAAAAGGGAGGAGCATATGATTGACAGCGGCAGAGCAAGTCTGTTCTGTCCACAGTGCTCACTCCCACATCACATGACTAGAACTGTTTTCAGTGGTAAGAGAATTAAAATACGTTTTTACCTCCAAATACTGTTCTGGATTCTAATCCCCATGCTGCATGCCAGTGACTTTGCACAGTGAAAAACTAAAATTACAAGACTATGGAGGAAACAGAAGAATCCAGTAGTTAAGCTGCTCAGCTGTTCTGCCTGGCCCTGCTGTGAGATCTATGTACTTTACCCATACACAAATTAACAGTCTTATTGTTATACCAATTACTGTGTAACTAACTGTAAGCCAGGGAGTGAGAAAGGTTGTCTATTTAAAACCATAGAGGTGGAGACTTGAGAAATGGCTCATCAGTTAAAAACACTAGCTGCCCGGGCAGCGGTGGCACATGCCTTTAATCTCAGCACTCTGAGGGCAGAAGCAGGTGGATCTCTGTGAGTTCGAGGCCAGCCTGGGCTACAAAGCAGATGCCAGGAGAGCCAGGACTGTTACACAGAGAAATCCTGTCTGGAACCCACCCCCCCCACACACACACAAAAAAATACCCCCCAAAAAACAAACAAACACTAGCTGCTCTTCAGAGGACCCAGGTTCAATTGCCAGCACCCATATGACAGCTCACAACTGTCTGTGACTTCAGTTCCAGGGGATATGGTGCCCTATTCTGGCCTCTGTGGACACTGCATGAACATGCCCAGCCAGATAATACCTGTACACAGAAAAGAAAAATTAGCAACCACACAATATTGAAACCACAGAGGGATTTTGGAAGGTAGACTAAAGATGGGTTTTGAAGCCACGGGTAAGAGTGGAGCAGTGTGGAGCTTAGTGTCTAGCTGAATGTTTGTCCTCTGGCAACATTTTCCCCCTAGTTCTTGAAGGTTATGGAGTCACAGCAGCAGAATTGCAACTGCTTTTGCTGTGGCGCCTAGCACTGTAGGGCTCCTTGAGTGTTGTGTTTGATTGACAGAACCCCCTGAAATGAGGGCTTGCTTTTAAAATACAATCACTCTTGGGAAAGAAATGTGGTATTTTCCTTCCATTATGCTCTCATTTTTTTTAAGATTTATTTATTTATTATGTATACAGAAGAGGGTGCCAGATCTCATTGCAGATGGTTGTGAGCCACCATGTGGTTGCTGGGAATTGAACTCGGGACCTCTGGAAGAGCATTCAGTGCTCTTAACCTCTGAGCCATCTCTCCAGCCCCCTCTCATTTTTTTTTTGTTCTAGGAATATATTCTTTGTTCTTGAATGAATTTATCTTGGACCCTCACTGATATTCATTGTGTCTGATGTTTAGTTTAGGCTACATCTCACAGAATCAGTTTGGTGGCCAGGTGGTGAGATTATCAGAGGCTCATCCCATTGCTTGAGCAGTGAAGGGCCCTCAGGAGTGTAATCTGGAGAAGAAAGAATAAGTGTGTGTTTGCAGATGGCTTCATGTAGAGGAACTGGGAAGCAGACTTCAGCTTAGCAGTCAAACTGTCCTTGAGTAGAACAGGATTTCTCAGCTGTGTGCCTTCCCATCTGGTGAATTGTATAACCATCTTAGGGGTCCTGTAAGAGCCAGGCCTGACACTTTGAGACACGTACATTGACAGAACACACATCTTTCTCCCCTAGCCACTTTTGCCACCATACTTACCATGTTTGGGGTTCACAACTTTCTCATGCGTCTGCATAGCGTTACCCACATTACACCATTCAATCAAGACCTAAATTAGTTAACGAGTGACAGGATTATAACCCAGGAGCCCCTGGATTTGATCCAGAGTGCTGGAAAAGAGAAGATGAGAAGAATATAATTTTCTAGATAATTTAAATGTAAGGTTAGCCCTTTAAGTAAATGATAGACTTTTGAGAATCCCAGCATCAGGGATGCTCTAAAGAGGCCTTCTGCTGAGCTCACAGTCTTCCTTTTCATCCTTTTCTGAATAAATTTCAAGAAAGCACACAGCAGAAGGATTAAAAGGTTTTGTGTATATTTCTGCGTTATGTCAATTATTACCACTCTGCATAGCTCATACGTTTTGTATATGAGCATATCTAGTCTAGATTAATGGTTTTTTCTTTTTTATATTTTATCAAGTGAGGAAATCAACCCAAAGAGCTTGACTTCCTCTGGTTTGTAGAGGGAGCTACTGACAGCACAGGTACCATCACCTGCCCTGTGTTGTTACCTCCAAGCCAAGCTGCCCAGGAGGACTGAGGTCTGCCCTCTTCTCTCCTGGAAGAATGTCCTGGACACTCTGGTTAAACCCCGTCGACAGACAAGTCCTTACTCTCAGGAATATTGTTTCACTTTTTTCTCCAGCCCCAGTGATGAATCCACTTGTTCTATCTTCACTAGGACTATTTTGGAGTCTGCTCAGAGCCAGTGATCAAGGACAATGTGGTTGTGGTCTACGAGGTCTTGGAAGAGATGCTGGACAACGGGTTCCCCTTGGCCACTGAGTCAAACATCCTCAAAGAACTGATAAAGCCCCCCACCATTCTCCGGACAGTGGTCAACACCATCACAGGTGTGAGCGGTTTGTGGGTGTGGGTGGGGCTTCAGGAGGCCGATGCTCCCCCCAAGTCCCGGCATCTCTGAGTCCTTGGGAATCTCATTTTACCTTTTATGTGCTGTGAGTCTGACCAGAAATTATAATCATATGTGGAAAGTACTTCAATTTTTATGTAGCTCCTGGTGGTAGAGCACTTAGCATGAAATCTCAGTTTTGAAAAAAAAATTATTTAACAGATTTTCTTCCAATTAAAGGTGAAAATATGATTAGTATGGAAACCTCAGAAACACAGGGAAGTACAAGAAGAGCATGAAATTTTCCAAATTTAACTACTTTTTAAAATATTTATACACATGTACGGTATGTGCATGTGTATATATTTTTCTCTTCTAGATAGATGAATGATGAGCAGATAGAATACATTTTTTATTTAAATTTTATGTATATTAAATTTATGTTTTGCCTGCATGAATATTTGTGCACCACTTGTATGTGTGGTTCCCTGAGAAGGCAGAAGAGGACATCTAATCCCCTGGAACTGGAGTTACAGACAGTTGTGAGGTGTCATGTGGGTGCTGGGAATTGAACCCCTGTCCTCTGGAAGAGCAGCCAGTGCTCTTAACCGATGAACCATCTCTCCAGCACTCAGATAGAATACGTCTAAATAATGTGTATATTTTTTAAATCTTGCCTCTTATTAATGTTTTATGAACATCCAATTGTGATATACTGACATTATTGTTAATGACTAGTGTTCTATGTTCAATGGACTCTGACATATTTATCTGTTTATGATGTTCTTGATATTTTTTATCCTTTCAAAGACAAAGGATTCTCATGTTTGAGTCTTGTCTACTCAGTTCTGGAAATGAGGGGTTTCGGAGATCCCCACACATCAGGCCAGAACAGTCATGGCTGCCTTTGCTTCCCACTGCAGAATCCATCCACTGTCACCAACCCCGCTAACTGTTGAGGCTGTGAACCACTAGATACACACTCACTTGTTGTTATGGGGAAGGTTTCAAACCTGTTTGCGTGTGGACTTTTCCCTCCGTTGTGACTGACTTTTTTGTACCCTCTTTTCATTTTTTATTGAGCTGGTTTTGGATCTTTCAGCACCAACTTGGAAGAAGGCCTTTCATGGGTGGTTGCCCTCTGCTATGGAGGTGTGCCCCTTGGTTGGTAGGCTCTGCTTTGAAAGTTGCATTCTCCATGTTCCCCACAGCCTGGGACTTCCACTTAGCTTTGTCATGGTGTTTGCTGAGCCCACATGTGAAATGTTTGATTTAGTGAGACTCATCTGTGTGATTCATTACGTTTTTACACGTTTAGTCTTGTTTAATAATGTAAATGGGGGTTTCAGCGAATTTGACAAACTAATTTTTGAAAATACGAGTCTGAAGAGTAGCAAGACAGTTAGTTCTGTGAAGGCATCACAGGAGGGTTGGTTTGCCCTGTCATCCGTCCAGACGCATTGAGTTTGTGTGGCTCATGAGACAGAAACTCAGAGTCACCACATTGGAAGAGACAAGACAGATCTACAGTTTGTTTTAAGGAAAGTGAGAGAAAATGTTGTACCAGATACATGCAATTCCATTTTGATGATTTAAAAAGCATTGTACTGACCCAGTAACAAATTTATTGTTTTTTGTTTTGTTTTTGTTTTTGTTTTGTTTTTTGCAGTAGTCTGAGTTTAGTTTAAACCTTAAAATCTTTGTGAGTGCTCTGTTAGAAACTTTTTAGAGCCCCGATCTCACTCAGCTGTAGAAAAAAATTCCTTTGAGACCCCCGTTTTGAAAAGCTGGCATGTTTTATACATGTGCTGACTATACCTGTGTTTCAGAGTTCTTTCTTTTTTTTTTTTTTTTTTTTTTTTGGTTTTTTGAGACAGGGTTTCTCTGTGTAGCTTTGGAGCCTCTCCTGGAACTCGCTCTGTAGACCAGGATGGCCTTGAACTCACAGAGATCCGCCTGGCTCTGCCTCCCGAGTGCTGGGATTAAAGGCGTGTGCCACCACCGCCCGGCTCGGAGTTCTTTCTTTAAAGAGATACAGGCGGTGGGAAAGGAAACAGGATTTAAATTGTTACTGTCATCAGTTCTCTCTAAAATAAGCTTTGATGTCTGGGAGCAGGGCAGCAAGGAGACAGTACAGCTACAGGGACCGGGCAGGGTCTGGCTGCGTTCTGTTCTGTTCACTGTTGGCATGAGGCAGATCCTGTTGATGTAAACACTTCCACCTTCTATCGCTGTGCCTGAGAACCTGCCTTAAACTAGAATACTGTCTCACTAATGGTGATGGTGTGTCAGTGTGTGGGTGCCCGCAACTCCAGAAACACGGTACCTTATCTAAGCTGCTGTGGAATTTGAGATCCTTCGATCTTCGTTACTCTCCAAACCAAATATGATACCCGCTTCTCGGGTGGCTTCCTTTAAACCTTTCCTCGAGGCAGCGGACCACATGTCGACAATGGACTTTAAAATTAGACCAGGCTGCCCTACATAGGAGAAGCGAAAGGCTTATCTTCCAAGTGGTATTGCATGAGTAACAAGGGGGTAGGAACTTCAAGGGGCATGTCCTTAGGTGGCTAGATTTGAAGTGGCATTAAAATACCAATTTGATTTTAGTCACCAGTATTAATTGTCTCAGGAAGCACCAATGTGGGGGACCAGCTTCCGACCGGGCAGCTGTCGGTGGTGCCTTGGCGACGGACTGGGGTGAAGTATACCAACAACGAGGCCTATTTCGATGTGGTTGAAGAGATAGACGCCATCATCGACAAGTCAGGTGGGTGCCGAGAAGTTGTTCTCTGAGTGTGGAGAGGGGGGACTGCTTCTCTTGAGTGTGTGTGATGATGCAGCCGAGAGGCTCACACTTCGCCCTTTGTGGAACTTCTCTTGAATGAGAAAGAGGAGTAGCAGGACTGAGGATTGCGGCAAGGCACAGGGTGGGGAAGGGTTACTCGGAGGGACAAGGCCAAGTATGGCAGTGCATACCCATCACTGAGTTGAGGCTGGAGGATCAAGATCTCCAGGCCGTTTGGGGCTATGCAGCCAGACCCTGTTTCAAGAAACCATGGAAGCAGTGGGGGAGGGGGCGGGAGGGAAGTCCTAAGTGAGCTCTTGTTGGTTAGATTTTCTGTTTGAAAGTATCGGCTTCCCAGGTCTGCAGGCAGAACTAGTCATTTAATGACAGGTTCTTCCCTGTTTTTGTTTTTTGTTTTCTTCAGTTAAGTAAATCGAAGTAGGAGTCCTGGGGCTGAGGATTTGGGAGTCCTTCACATTCTTGCACTTACCCATCCACTGTCTGCTGTTGGGAACTTGGTCACAGCACAGGGAGAGTCTGACCATCCAACCATTAATAGGACCCAGGCTGTTAGTCTGCGGCCGTGGAAAGGTGGTCCAGGGGAAGAAGTGCCGGCAGATGGGCTCGGCCATCATGCAGAGGCGGCTGCTCTGTCAGCAGAGTGCATCGATGATGGCCTCCCCGCTGCGCTGCTTGGGAGCTGCCTCCGCAGCAGGGTTCACAGAAATGAGCCTGGACTGAGGGGCGTGAAAGGAAAGTAAATAGCGAGACCTTAAAACTAGGGCGTCATGGGCTGGGGAGATGGCTCAGTGGTTAAGAGCACTGGCTGTTCTCCCAGAGGTCCTGAGTTCAATTCCCAGCAACCACAGGGTGGCTCACAACCATCTGTAATGAGATCTGGCGCCCTCTTCTGGCCTGCAGGGGCACATGCAGACAGAGCACGGTATACATAATAAGTAAATAAATCTAAAAAAAAGAAAAAAAACTAAGGCATCACAGTATTTCTTCATATTAACACAAATGAGAAATAACCCAACCATCCACTAAAAAAAATGATTAATAAGCCTTGATACAGTCACCCAGAGTACTCTACAGTAGTGAAAAAAAAAGAATAAGTTACTGATCCACCCATCAACATGTGTCTTACACTGTTGAGAAAAAAGTCAGACATATACATTATCCCATACAGTGAATTGCATTTAGTGACCCTTGAAAGCAGGTGCAATTAAGGCAATAGAAGTCAGAATTAGGGGGAAGAGGATGTCATTAGCTAGGAAGGACAGGGAGGCACACGCTGTCACGTTAGAAAATTTCCACATTTGATGTGGATGTATATATGTTCAGAAATTCCCTGAGCGATAAGGTTTTTACATTTTGATATTTTATATCACTGCAAAAAAAAATGTTTTTAATTGACCCTAGAGAGATGGTTCAGCAGTTAGGCGCCCTGGCTGACCCTCTGCTGGGCTCAGTTCCCAGCCCTGACATGGTGGTTTCCACCTGTCTATAGCTCCAGTCCCGGAGGATCCGATGCCCTCTTCTGGCCACCATAGGCACCATGCACACGTGGTCCACACCGTACAAGCAGACAATACACCCATACACATAGAATACAAATACCGGAAAAGTATTTTTTAAACTTTTTTATTAGAGCGGCAATCTATGTCAGGCTTGATGGCGCACGCCTTTATTCCAGCACTCTAGGAAGGCAGAGGCAGGTGGATCTCTGTGAATTCGAGGCCAGCCTGGTCTATATTGTGAGTTCCGGGCCAGTCAAGGCTAGATAGTGAGACCCTGACTTTAAAAACAAACGAATAGAAAAACACAGTGGTCAGTTGTGTCGCAGTGTGGGAGACTGATCTACAGTGAGGTGGACTGGAGGCAGCGGCAACATTGGAGGCTGTGCCTGAAGTCCTGGCTCAGAATATAGGTGAATAAATATTCCTGGACAGAGACAGAGGTGCATGCCTGCTATCCCAGCACTAGGAAGTGAGGCAGAAGGAGCAAGTTTGAGGCTAGCCTAAACTACAAAAAATAGTATTTAACTAGACATGGTAAGAGAAGAGGTGGGAGTATACTGGCATGTGTACCTGGCTCAGGCAGCTGGATGGATAGTGTCACCTCAAATGACAGGAATGGGAGCCATCAGGGAGTCAGAGCAAATTTGCTCTTGCAACAAGCTTGCAGCCTTGGTGACACCTGGAGAGGAATCCTTCAGTCAGCAGTGAGGCTGAGCTTGAAAATGCAGTGTGCCATAGGACCTGCACAGGTACCAGACAGACAGACAGACAGACAGGGTCCCAGTGCATCACAGGGCCTGCACAGGTACCAGCCAGCCAGGGTCCCAGTGCATCACAGGGCCTGCACAGGTGCCAGACAGACAGACAGACAGACAGGGTCCCAGTGCATCACAGGGCCTGCACAGGTACCAGATAGACAGGGTCCCAGTGCATCACAGGACCTGCACAGGTACCAGACAGACAGACAGACAGGGTCCCAGTGCATCACAGGGCCTGCACAGGTGCCAGACAGACAGACAGACAGACAGGGTCCCAGTGCATCACAGGGCCTGCACAGGTACCAGACAGACAGACAGACAGGGTCCCAGTGCATCACAGTATCTGCACAGGTGCAGGACAGACAGGGTCCTAGTGCATCACCGTATCTGCACAGGTGCAGGACAGACAGGGTTCCAGTGCTGAGATGGGAAATGGACACAAGCTCCCACCCTTAACCAGAAGCCATCAGCAATTGACAGTGACTTGCAAAGGAAAAATGAGTCTTCTCCGTTGGCGTCTCACTGGGGATATTAACCACACTTAAGGGCAGACTCTGTGCCATCTGTAGATGGCCAACGCAAAATGTACTCAGTGGTCAAATGGTTGCCTTTTGGCTCATTTGGCTTCGTGTGGGCATGTTTTGTTTTACTGGACTTTTGCTTGCCTATTTTGGCTTCCCATTTTGTGGTTTTGTGGGGTTTTTGTTTATGTTTTGATTATTTTTTTAAGATTTATTATTTTATTTAATGTCTATGCATGTACAACCTTATGCCAGAGAGGGCATCAGATCCCACTATAGGTGGCTGTGAGCCATCATGTGGTTGCTGGGAATCGAACTCAGGACCTCTGGAAGAGCAGCCAGTGAGTGCTCTTAACCACTGAGCCATCTCCCCAGCCCCGATTATTTGTTTTTTAAGCAGGGGTGGGGGGGTGGGCAAAAAGTTGGATGGGTAGGGAGGTGGGTAGAATCTGGGAGGAGTTGGAAGATGGGAAAAACATGATCAGAATATATCGTGTGGTAACAATTTTTTCCAATTATAGAAACACAATGCACATAATTGGGTGTGATAGAGACTGAAGCCTTGGGGAGGCTAAGTACTTCAGGGAGAATGAAAGAGGGGAAGTCAAGGCCTGAGTACACGTGCGGCATATTAGAACCTGCAGAGACCTGCACCTGCTGAGGAAGAGCATCTAGGAACGGACAGGAAGATGAGGGAAGGGGGGGAGGAGGAGGGAGGGAGGGGGGTTGTTTGTAGAGACCTGTAGGGTGAGGACCACGGGTCTCACAGATCTTCTGCAGTACCAGTTCAGGTGCTGGCGCTCTGTGGCTCTGGCGTTAGATGGAAACCCTTCTAGGCCTCCTAATCTCTCACTGGTCTCTGTCTCCACGCTTTCATCAGAGTTCTCAGACTGGAGCTTGGATGATGGACAGATGGACTGGACAGAACTGGGTGTCTAGACGGAAGAGAGGAGGGCAGGAGGGAGGGAGAATGGAGAGAGAGGCAGGAGGAACACAGGCTTCTGTGGTCTCCAGCGTCCTTGTCTTTGTCCTTTTCCGGTTAGGTTCCACAGTCACCGCTGAGATCCAGGGGGTGATTGACGCCTGTGTGAAGCTGACCGGGATGCCAGACCTCACCCTGTCCTTCATGGTACTGTCCAGAGCTGTTGTTAACCATTTTGGCATGGGAGATGAGGTGTTTCTGAAGGGAGTGATGAGAACTCACACAAGCAGCAATCAGGGTGGCCCTGAGGCCTCCGTGGGCTCGGGACGCTTGTGTGTGCTTAGTGAAAATGTCGTCTGAATTGCTGTTCAGAGAAAACCCTGGAGCTCACCCCCACCTCTTCTTCTTCTTCCCCGCCTGGTGCTGCAGAACCCCAGGTTGCTGGACGACGTTAGCTTCCATCCCTGTGTCCGTTTCAAGCGCTGGGAATCTGAGCGCATCCTCTCCTTCATCCCTCCTGATGGCAACTTTCGCCTGCTCTCCTACCACGTCAGTGCACAGAAGTAAGCAGGTCCCGGGAGCAGACTCCATGTCTGTGGAAGCTATGTCTGTAGTGGCTAGCCCCGTCCCTCGCCCCTGCCCCCGCACCCCCCCCCCCCCCCCACTTCCCTGGGTTCAGGTTCCAGCTCCTTGGGTTGCTCACTGCATCAATGCAGTGAGCTGCTTTCCCACTCCGTCTCTTTCTCTTCTGGGGATAGCGAGTGTCTTTCTGTGAGGACTGAGTGGACAGTGCTTCGCTCGGGGCAAGGGGGCACTGAGGCTGTCATTACTACTTTTGGTGGTGGTATCTGCTGGGTCAGTCTTGCTGTCTAGCCCAGCCTAGGCTGGCTTTGAACTCAAAGTCCTCCTGCTGGGCTGACAGGTGTGGGCCACTAGCACAGCCGCTGCTTTATATTGTTGCTCCCTTCCTCAGAAAATCAGTATTAAATCCCTTGACATCCAAAAGGCATCGTGCTTTGAAAGAGTGTCCATGCAGTGAGTTTGGGTCTCACGTGCTTCCTTATTTGGGAGCTCTGATTTTCAGTAGAAGGTATGTGGAGTTGGGATCCTAAGGACTCAGGACCAGTGCCTCCTCTCTGGTGACTCAGGTATCTGTGAGCCTGAATCCGATTGCCCCAACTCACACCTCTCCTTTCCTCATAGATATGACCAGGCAAGTTATTCAACCTCAGAGAAGCAGAAAGATGTTGGTATTCACGTATAAATCAGTACCTAACCAGAACACAGAACGTAAATGTTAGGAGCCACGGTTTCTTGAGCCCGTTGTAATGTCCCACACTGTGACAACCTATCCCATCTCTGGGGCCCTGTGTGGGTCAGGATGAAGTCAGATGCACTGTCTTGAAGAGGCTGGGGTGACAGTTCCCAGGAGTAGAGCTCCAGTCTAACAGCCATGAGACTCTAGCTTCAGTTCACAGTCCTGCTGTATAAACAAGCCATAAAAGGTCGGTGAGGTGTGAATAGTGTTGTCCCATATCCAGGAATGGTGACCTTGTGTCCTAAACACAGCCCAGAAAAAATGCTATAGCCCATGTCCTAAACACAGCCTGGAAATGCTATAGTCCTGTGTCCTAAACATAGCCCAGAAAAAATGCTATAGCCCATGTCCTAAACACAGCCTGGAAATGCTGTAGCCTGTGTCCTAAACACAGTCTGGAGTGACCTCTTGCTCCTTCCTGCTCCTGCTGATTCTCCAAACAACTTGGTGCATAGCTTAGTTTTCTTCATTCTTGCCCAAAGAGGCATCAGAAGAACTTCATTTTCTAGGCACCACCTTCATTTTTCAAAAACAAAAGCTGTATCCCTGTTTTCTGAGTATGTTATTTTTAAGATACTTCTCTGATGTTTAAGATACTTCTCTGCCTGTTTTCTGTGTATAAGTGTTTGCTTGCATGTATATATGTGCGCTGCCAGTGCCTGGTGCCTGGGGAGGCCAGAAGAGGGTGTCAGATCCCCTAGAACCGGAATTCTTGTGAGACTTCCCTGTAGGTGCTGGGGACCAAACCTGGTTCCTCCATAAGAGCAGCAAGTGCTTCTAAGTGCTGCTGCAGCTCTCCAGCCCTCAAAGGAGATTTTCTTTTTTTCAAAATTTCTTTAGATTTATTTATTTTATGTGCATGAGTGTTTCATTTATGTGTATGTATGTATGTACATTGCATGCATGCCTGGTGCCTGCCGAGGTCAGAAGAGGGTGTCTGATAGACTGGAACGGGAGTTACGGACAGTTGTGAGCTGTCCCAAGGGTGCTGGGAACCAAACCCAGGTCCTTTGCAAGAACAGCCAGTGCTCCTAATTGCTGAGCTGTCTCTCCAGCCCCTGGTGTTCTCTCTTTGAAGAGGGTATTTTGTCTCTTTTGCAGCCTGGTTGCGATTCCAGTCTATGTTAAACATGGTATCAGCTTCCGGGACAGCAGTTCACTTGGACGCTTTGAAATCACAGTGGGACCCAAGCAGACCATGGGAAAGACAATAGAGGGTGTGATTGTCACCAGCCAGATGCCCAAAGGTGTCCTGAATATGAGCCTCACTCCATCCCAGGGGACACACACGTTTGACCCCGTGACAAAGGTAAGGGACTGGGCATTTGAATCACCCTCAACACAGGCTGGATCCCTGGTTGGAAGGCAAGATCAATCAAAGGGACTTGGTCCTAAAGACCTTTGACAGAGGGTTCTCTGTGGAACCCCCCTCCCCGCCCCCGGTCAGAGGTGGCTGATAATATGGAAGGCCAATGGCTTGAGGTCGGAGCTCTGAGTTCAGATTAAAAACAACACAGTGGTTATGTGGGAAAACCCACTTCTATGTGTTTTCTTCCAAGATGCTGTCTTGGGATGTAGGAAAAATAAACCCACAAAAGCTGCCAAGTTTGAAGGGGACAATGAGTCTTCAGGTCGGAGCTTCTAAGCCAGATGAGAACCCCACAATTAACCTGCAGTTTAAGATCCAGCAGCTGGCCATTTCTGGTGAGTGACACATCTTGGGTGGTTTCTCCGTTGCCAGGCGCAGACCTCAGTGTCTGCTGGGACTCTCTGACGAAGGGTCTCACTGGGTCTGGTTCTATTCCCCTGTATGGACTCATCAGTGAGATCTTTCCCAGTTCGGACGACTCAGAAGCTAGCAGAAAGACCCGGAGTCAAACTGGCAGGGACCCAGTGAGAGATGGGTTGACAGAGGTCTCCGTAGGCCATGGTTGGATTGTGCTAGAGTTGTTGATTTGAGCTGCCCAAGGGCTTCAGTCTGAGGGTACTTCTCCATTCTTCCCCAGGCACGGGAAGAAATCAGCCCCACAGGTCTGCCAGCTTCAGCAGACCTCGCTGCTCACCAGTACTGTCTTTAGACATTGCCAGTCTTGACTTGCTTGACCACACTTAGGAAAGTAGGAAGATATAATATTTTCTGAGTATTTACTATGTTTCATCTACCCCAAGCATTTTTTTATTCTTGTTTAACTTTTAGACTAGCCTTCGGAAAGCCTTAGGAAGAAATGGGCTTTATCTTTAGAGAACATTCTTAGTTTTCTTTACTAAAAGACTCTTTAACTTAGGTGATTAAAGTTAAGTGATACGTTCTTCCTCCAAAACCACTTAATAGGCCATAAAGCGATCGACAAAATAATTTCTGTTCAGTTTGGCAGGATTGTTTCGGAAGCCTCCATTGATCAGCTCATTTCCTTCCATTATTCATTAATGCTGTTATCATTCTTCAGTCCAATAATTTGAGCAAAACAGTGTTATTTTGTCCTCACCCTCAATGCAATCTGCTTGACTCTCTGCCCTTTCCACTGAGAGGAGGGCTTCTCCCAGGAGAGCTGTTTGCTGACGTAATCTTTGCCGCAAATGTCCCTACCGAGATAGCAGGGCTGTTTGCCTCTGCTTCCAAGAATGGGCCCCTTCGACAGTCTCTTCCACACACCCCGCTTCTGTATTGACACAAACCCAGACAATTGTCTGCTGCTACTTCTGAGAGATGCTCACCTCCTACGCCTCTCTTCCTTCCTCCCTCCAGGACTCAAAGTGAACCGTCTGGACATGTATGGAGAGAAGTACAAGCCCTTTAAGGGCATCAAATACATGACCAAAGCCGGGAAGTTCCAAGTTCGAACCTGAAGGGCATGGGTCACTGGAGGAGCAGTCACGGACACTTTTTCCTTTCTTACTTGTCTAAAAGTAAAATGTCAGCCTGTTTCTTAGGTCAGTTCCCTCCAGGCTCCATCTGCTCCCTTGTCTTCAGCCTTCAGTGCCATGGAACTGATCAAGGGAGAAAAGGTTCATAGGGAAAACATGGCCAAACCCAGCACGGCACCGATTGAGTTCTAGAGACGTGTATGGTGGAGAGCAGTGATACGTGATATTGTATCTCACTACTTTTAACATGGTTGTCACAGCATGGGGAAGAAAGACCAGCATTTGCTGTTTGTTTGGTTTTCACTCTCTAGATCCAGTGGAAGATGTCTCTATTGAATTTTTTTTTAAGACAGAAAAAGTTGAAAGACCAAAAAAAAAAAAAAAAATTGCAAGAAAAATGAGTGTGAGTCCAAGAAAGACCAGTTGCAGATTGGATATGTGGGTCTGGGTTGTAACTCAGTGGCAGAGTGCTGGCCTAGGTCGTGTACAAACCCCGGTTCATTCCTAACACCGCCCGCAGTGAAAAACAGATCTGCTGTATGAGGGACAAGACAGAGGAGCTGATATGAAGAGAGTTGTGATGAGAGACGCCCCAGTGAAGGACGGGAAAGTGATCAGAGTTTCCACGGGGGTTACAAGGAGCAGGGTGGAGTGGTTTCTTTCTGACCCTTCTCATGTATAGAAAGGATTTGCATGCCCAGGACTTTCAAAGTTCAAGTCCACACTTGACGTGAAATCGCAATGGAATCAGTTTCCCTTGGAGACTGGAGTGCTATGGCCTGGCCTGTAGAATCTCGCTTGGGCTTGCTATCTGTGCTGGCCCATCATCTTGGTGGGAAGGTGACCTGCCAGAGCGGTTTACAGTCTTTTCCTGGTTATCTGACTCCTCGGTGGGAGCTCCCCCATAACGGTGTCTGGTGCAGCCAGATTTTATGAATTATAGTAGTGGAATTGAGATGGGAACTCATGTCCCACGGAGTGGACCTTGCCCATATGCAATGACTCCATTAGTGTTTGTCAGGCTGGATTGTCCCTAAGCCTTGCCCTTTCCGGTCTGAAGGTTCCCATCAGAAGCCCCAAGTGGGCACGGGCATACTGAGGACATGAGTCCATGAAGCTGCTTCCCACTGTCTGTACACTGTCATCTACCTGTTGACAGCAGACAGCTCCCAGGCCACTTTTAAGAGGAAAAAAAAAAAAAGGCATCTTGAACCTTTGAATAAAATCAAATGCCATAGGAGGGCAGACTGTGTTCTCTTGAGTGACCCACCAGTTTAAACCATGGCAGCTGAAGGAGCATGACTTTCCTAAAGAGCATTTCTTAATCTGTTCCAGTGTGTCCGTTGCTCATTTTAATATCTACATCAGTGGTGGGGTTTGTTGTTTTTAACTTATAGCTTAGGGAGCGAGCGGCTTGTGCTCTGTTGTGCGCGGAGGGAAGAAAGATCTGTTTCCTTCCGTCCGCACAACTCTCCCCTAAAGTCCTGTTTGTAAGTACTTGTGCTTAGTCATTTTTTATTTTTATTTTCTGGCCAGTTTTATCTTGCCGTGGCCAGTACTTAGTTTTGCTGCCAAGTGGAGTTTCACTGTGGTTTTCTTGTGGGGTGAACTGTGCTGTGTACAACCAGCTGATTCTTACCGCTCCACTCCCGAATCTGGACTAGCGTAGCTCCGCACACCAGTGTCGAAGGAGACACTCTGCAGACTTCTTTCAGAATGGGAAGTCACTTCCACAGGCCCCGCAGGATTCCGGGGTTTTTTGGGTCACAGGAAACTATTGATGTCAGTCCTTGAATATGTCTAGGAGGTTCCTTTATTCCATCTAGCACAGTATAGCTTGTCTATCTAGAAAGAGACAGTGTTGGAATGTGGGACCTGCAGGCCTAGACATCGTGGATATAGCCAGGCCTGGCTGTCCCCACCCAGCGACTGTCAGTCAGCAGGGGGGATGTGCGGGGTGTCTCAGTAGCTCCTCACTCTGTGTGGGGTCCATGTGCAGAAGTAGTATTTCTGTTTAAGTCTTAATAAAGCTTTACCAGTCTTCCAGTCTCTGTCTGGTTACTGAGACTAGCAGTAGCACCCCACTATGTTTCCCTAAGTAGAAAGAAGGTGCTTATTTGAGAACTCTAAAGACACCTGGAGTGTGTGATTCTCCAGTCACCCCTGGGGGACAGGTCATGTCGGCACTGGTGCTGTTTGTAAGGTTGGTGGCATCTAAGGTCCAGAGGAATCTAATGATTTTCCTAGGATAAAAAAAGCTGTTAAAGCCGGGCGGTGGTGGCGCACTCCTTTAATCCCAGCACTTGGGAGGCAGAGGCAGGCGGATCTCTGTGAGTTCGAGGCCAGCCTGGTCTCCAAAGTGAGTTCCAGGAAAGGCACAAAACTACACAGAGAAACCCTGTCTCGAAAAACCAAACAAACAAACAAAAGCTATTAAAGCCTTTGGTGCTATTTCATGTTCAGTGTTCTTTGTCCCTGCTGCAGGAAGCAGAGCCTTAAGGTCTCAGGTTTCTCTTGTAGAGGTTTCTGGGGGAACTAGGTATCAGGGGTGCCTTAGGCACTTTCCTGTTGCTGCGACAAAACACCATAACCAAAGCAACTTATAAAAGAAAGCACTTCATTGGCTGATGGTTTCAGAGGTTTGAGTCCATGATGGCGGCGCAAAGGCAGGGCAGCAGGAACAGCCGAGAACTTACATCTTAATCCGTGAGCAGAAGGCAGAGAGCGCACTGGAAATGGTGAGGGCTTTTGAAATCTCAAAGCCCACTGTCAGGGACACACCTCCTCCAATAAAGACACATCTAATCCTTCCCATGCAATTCTACCAACTGGGCCCCAAGTATCCAAACATAGGCACCTACAGGGAGCAATTCTCATTCAAACAACCACATGGGGTCTAGGGCCGCCAGCCAACATCAACATGTGGACACGGTCTAAACTGCTTTTCTACAGATTTCTGTTGACTCCCTGGAAGTGTGTGGTGCTTGTTCAAAGTTCAGTTTCTGTTTCTCGGAGACATTAAACTTGGGTATGTATGTACATGTTTGTGGGAGGGGGTGGGGGGTTATATATGCCACAGCCTGTATGTGGAAATCCAAGAACTCAAGGGAGTCACTTCTCTCCTTCCATTGCGTGAGTCCCGAGGACTAAACTCAAGTCATCAGGCCTGGTTGTAAGCACGTTTACTTGTGGAACCAGTTTGCTGCCCCTTCTCGGACATTCTTTAGTATGGTGCCCTCCCTACTTTCCTAGCAACTACCTTCTGAAAATAGGAAATGGAAAATTCCAGGAAAAGGTAACCTTTAAGTTGTGTACCATTCTGAGCAGCCTGATGAAGTCTCTACTGATCTCCATCCCATCCCACCCTGTCAGACACTGTCTCTCCCTGGACACAAATGGCACCTTGCCCCTGTGTCTACACTCTGCTTGCTTGTCTTCATTCTTAATTAACTCTTTGTGCTCAAGGAACCCTCACTCACTCACAGGGTAGTAGTGCAGGGGGGTTGGGTAGGTCAAAGAAAAGCCAAGAAGGTTGGAAGAAAATGCTTCCTCTCACTGAGAAATTCAAAGTTCCCAATAAAAAACAATCGTGTGTGAAGTCTGCTGAGATCTCAGCAAAAACAATACTTCTAACCGCAATTTTAAGCAGGAGAAAATGCGTTACAGGTCTACTCTGACCCTGCAGTGCCTTGGAGGTGAATAGCAAAGGCATCAGTGTCTCTGGGGGGGACGGAAGCAAACCTATATTCTGACTGCTGCTCTTCCTACATGCTGTGCTGCTGTGCGGAGGCCTGCCCCGGGACTTGGGGATTCCCTGGAACAAGAGACACCTGTCGAGTCTAGCTGGTTCTGCTCTGCCAGTGGTCACCACTAATGCCTTCCTGTATCTGATTGTAGTATACAACTTACAGGAGAAACAGACTTTGTCGGGGTAGGTGCTGTCTGTCTCCAGACACCCACTGGGACCTTAGAACATGTTCCTTCAGGATCAGGGCTGATTGCTATATTCCTCCCTTAGTCTGGATGGTTGGGGGCATGGGGAGCAGGAAATGGTATCTACTTATATTTCCTTCTAGGCCAGTAGGTGGTGACTAGGTACCATCAATACCATTTATAATTGTTAATGGCTTTAAAAAGGAATTTAATGAGAACCCCAAGCAGGTCTTAAATACTAAGGATTGTGTGTTCAGCTTTCATATATGGAGTTGAAAGTCTATAACACTTTGTGAGGTACAGGTCTGGGGGCGGGGAGGGGCAGGACCAGGGCTCTGTGCTCCTTTGGTCTTTAACAACCAAAACCAACCCATACAGTTACCTAGGACCATACTTGCTCTTTAGTTCTTTTGGCCTCTTTAATTAATCAGCCAGGACTAATGGGGCAGCATTTACTTTCCCTTTGACTCACTCTCTTCCTCTGGTGAATTCCAGACATTGCACCCTGCATTTCTTAACCAATACTGGGCAGGGAGGGATATGCTACTCTGACCCTTCAGTGTGATTCATATGACTTGTTGGACACTGCTCTGTAAGAGTCAGCAATTGTCTTCATCTGTGTATGGTTTCCAGGACTCCACTCAGGAATGTTGGGGCCTTTTGACTCTGTATTACCATCCCAGAAAGCTTTTCGGCTTCAGTCTCACTAACCCTAGGGTCTAAAGAAAAGCTTGCCCAGCGGGGGGTGGGGTGGGAGCCAGCTGCCTTGGGCAGGCCTGGGAGCCTTGCTTACTGCTGTCCTCAAGCAGCATTTTCCGGAATGGGATGAGATGTATTTCTTAGATCAGAACACGAAGGGAGACTTACGTGAAGTCAAGAAATCTGTGACCTAGTCTCTGATTCAAATTGATAGAACTGGTCTGGAGACTTCAGCGATTTTGGGAAACCACTCAACAACTCCCCCACCAAGTTCTTGGGCTACAGTGAATTTCTTTTGTGAGTTTAAACTATTTTTCTTCTAAGAGCCTCTCACAGGGCAGTACTGACAACCCCTCAAGAGATAAGAAAGACGTTTCTTCCTAAAAGAAACATTTACCCAGCCACACCCGAGAGTAATCGTTACATCATGAGAGAGTCTTGGGACTAAGATGTGGCGAAGCGAGCTGGAGACCACGGCAGGAAGAGACGTTGTGTCCCAAGAGTGGTGAGACAGTGTGCAAGGGCCAGCAGGGGGTCAGCTACAAAGACCGCCCACCACACCAGGCCTACAGTTTGATCCAGCCTGTGGCAGGAGAAATGACTTCTGAAAGTTGTCCTCTGACCTTTACACCTGCGCTATGTGTGGACACACCCTCAGACCCCATATCACACACACTAAAGGAGCTACTAGAACATTCAGGACATAAGCAGCATACTGGTGTGCACTGGTCTGTGAGCTAATTGTTTCCGAGGAGCAGAAAACAGAACAGAATGAGGGGAGAAAAGCAATCGGGAGAGTAGTGTCTAATATGGACCATCAGTTGAGCCGTTGCTGTGTTGATAAGGGATGGCTTGGGGTTTGTCTTCCTCTGTGTTGCTATAGTTACTGTCCACAGAGTAATGCAGCCATCGACTCAGTCTGTGGTCATAGTGTGGTTGATTTTCCAGATCCCTCTTCATTCATCACCTCCTGGAGCAAAACACACGTTTTGCCCTGCAGAGTCCCTAGCATCCGATCTACAGTCCTGATCAAGTTCCGATCAGGTTGGGGATATAGCTCTGTGGTAGAGTACTGGTTTAGCACACCCAAAGTCCCAAGTTCAATCCCCAGTGCTGCATTTGCAGGTGCCTGCCACTATAACCTGAGTCTAATCCCCAGGATCCACATGGTGGAAGCAAAGAACTGTAGGTACCCTCTGACCTTCGCGTGTGCATCAGGGCACTCATAAAACTGTCCTCCCCCACATATAATAAAGACAGACTGTCTGTCATTCCCTGTACTCTACTGCCTCTTTGACCGACAGGTCTTTGTTGTTGCAATAGTGAAATCCTGGGTCTCAGGACTGGCCTGCCTGCAACTGCCCAGTCTTACCCATTGTGTGAAACCCTTCTGAGTCCTACTGTTCCCGATGACCCCTTCTCACTCTCACAGCTGAGTTCTAGTGAGGTCTCTGCTGTGCTGGGACCGGCTCCAATCTACTTCATTTCTGTGAATGCCTCCTGCCCATGCCAGCTTTCCCCACCCCGTTTCTACTGTTGGTGGCACCCAGAATATTGCCTTGGGGGTAAGCAGGATTTCCCATGTTTGAAAGGAAGTCTTTCAACTGACTCCAAAAAAAAAAAGAATGGGGAACACAAATAAACCATGGATACATACCATTTGAAAAGTGTGAAAAATACCTCTGGGTTTATTATTTAAGTACAATATAATACAAAGTTATGGTAACAAAGTAAAAACTAAAATAGATTAATATATAAATATGCTAATGCTACTTCATCAATTATTAAAATCACATAGTTCTCCCAACCATCTATAATGTTTATAAAGATAAAAAGATTTACACTGTATACAAAGGAATACCTCCCAAGAGTTGAGGAGTGGGAAGGACGTGGAGAATATTTGATTTCAAGGGTTTTATAGGGCTGCGATCTGGCCAGCCAACACTCCTATCTCTTCTGCTGGGCCCTGCTGTAACTATAAATATGTATCCTTGTCCCCAATGCAAACTTCTCTCCTGAAAGATCAAGCTGTGTTTTACTGTTGAGACATGATCTTGTGTCTCGTAGTCCAGTGTACAAAATGGCGGACCAGGAGAGTGGACTTTGGTCTACCTTTCTCTTTTAAATCCTAGAGTTATGGGAGGGTTGGCATTTTCCCATCTTCTCATCAGACAGACTTTATCCTAAAGTCAGACCTTCATCCCTGAAAACTTAGGAACTGTGAAGTACCGGTGAAGTACGCTACGTCCTCTCCTACAGACCCTCCATCCCTCTGCCGAGTGGCAGTCTAGGAAGATGATAAAGTAAAGAACGTTTGGCCTTTTAGGTGTGTTTTCTATAGAAGGGGAAGGTAGGCCCTCCTCCGGATCCAAGGAGCTGGGTTTTCTTGGTCATTGCTTCATGTTGTCTTGAAT